CCTAGGCTGGAGTGCAGTGGTGCGATCTCAGCTCACTGTAACCTCCGCCTCCCAAGTTCAAGTGATTCTTGTGTCTCAGCCTCCCGAATAGCTAGGATTCCACGTGTGCACCACCATGCCTGGCTAATTTTTGTATTTTGGGTAGACAGGATTTTGCCATGTTGGCCAGGCTGGTCTCAAACTCCTGGTCTCAGGCAATCCACCCACCTTGCCTTGGCCTCCCAAAGTGCTGGGATTACAGGTGTGAGCCACTGCACCTGGCCCAGGTTATTTTTTTTCCATACATGGTCTTGCTCTGTCACCCAGGCTGAGTCCAGTAGCACAATCATAGCTCATGGCAGCCTTGAGCTCCCAGGCTCAAGTGATCCTCCCACCTCAGCCTCCCTAGTAGCTGGGACTATAGGTGTGCACTACCACATCCGATGAATTTTTTATTTTTTGCAGAGGCAAGGTCTCATGCCCCATTTGGTCTCAAACTCCTGGCCTCAAGCAATCCTCTTGCCTTAGTCTCCCAAAGTGCTGGGATTACAGGTATGAGCCACCATGCCTGGCCTGTTGGTTTTTTAACAAAGCTTTATTGAAGTATAATTGACATATGAGAAACTGCACACATTTAAAGTGTGTTTAGGTGTGTATACACCCATGAGTCTTTCACCACAATCAAGATAGTAGACATATCTGTCACCCCCAAAAGTTTCTTTGGGTCTCTTTCTAACCCCTTCCAGCTTCCCTCCTATCCCCTCTCTAGCTATCCCTCCTGTTCTTCAGGCAATTGTGTGTTCTAAAACATACATTTCATCATCAATTCATAAGTAATTCAAAATCAGGACTATAGGATTTTAACTTCATCTCTTCTAGTTTAACATTTGAATTTATTTTCTTCCATGCTGAGAATATGGATTTTCAGCAACACTGGGGATGACAGAATTAGAATATCATACAATTACCCATTTGCTTTATCCCACATTACAGCAAATGCTTTTTAAATGTTAGTTACCTTTGATGCTCTACCCTCTTCCCTTATAAAGGGCAAATAATTCTTTCCCATAATTTTCCGTTCTAATATTTACAAAGAGCAGAGACAGGTTTTTTCATCATTAACATCCTGAGAGGCCTACAGTTCTGAGTCCTCAGTAATTTCTGGAAAGGGTCCATGCAGGGATGATCTTGGATTGTGCAACAAATGGTCCTGAGAGACAGAAATGCAGTTTGCCCTGGGCTTAGAAAACAAGGAGACCTTCTTGCTGTATGGGGGCTAATGGTAGCAGCGGATAGGTAAACAGGCAATTACAATCTACTATGGTAACTGCTGCCATAATGGGATGGCACAGAATGCTGTTGGAGCATAACGCAGTGGAGCACTTGTGCCTACCTTGCTCCTGGTATATTAGGGAAGGCTCCCAAGGGGAGGGGACATTTAAGCAGGGTCCTGGAGGAAGAGCAGGAATTAGTGATGTTGGCAGTTAACAAAGAGGAGGGAGGAGAAGGCATTTTCAGGTACAGAAGCAGCAACAGACAAAAGGTCGAGAAATAGGAAAGTGTGGTTCCTAGAGAAACTGCAAATGAAGAGTTGACGACGACTGGGGTAGTAAAGGGAAGGCAAGAGAGTGCTCTGCTTATCTGTCCCACATGGTGCCTTGTACTTGGCAGGTGTTCAACATGTTCTGGTTTCAGAAAACTACACTTTTTTTTTTTTTTGAGACGGAGTTTCACTCTTGTTACCCAGGCTAGAGTGTGACGGTACAATCTCAGCTCACTGCATCCTCCACCTCCCAGGTTCAAGCGATTCTCCTGCCTCAGCCTCCCGAGTAGCTGGGATTACAGGCACCCGCCACCACGTCTGGCTAATTTTTTTGTATTTTTAGTAGAGATGGAGTTTCGCCATGTTGGCCAGGCTGGTCTTGAACTCTTGACGTCAGGTGATCCACCTGCCTCAGCCTCCCAAAGTGCTGGGATTACAGGCGTGAGCTACCGCACCCGGCCAAGAAGAGCACACTTTATAACAACAATAACAATAACAGCTTGTGGCAATTACAAAATGAAAAGTACTGTGCCAAGAACTTTGCATAAATTATCTCATCTAATCCTCACAACAACCCACCTAGATAGGCGTTCCCCTTCTGCAGTCAAGAAAGCATGTTCAGAAAGGTCAAGTTGCAAAGCTACTATGCTGAGTCACACATCCATATGGTGAAGCAGGGCAGGGATTCAAAGGCCCAAATTTTCTCATGCCAAAGCCTGAGCTCCTTCCCTCTTACCTTTCCTTCATCCCCTTTTACATGGGTAATAGCCTCCAAGGGGGTCACCTAGAGTTCTACTCAGGATTCAAGTGAAGATGTGTATCTGAGGGATGAGCTATGTGTCCCAAGATCTGCTTATCTGCTGCTTGGTTTGGGCCAACAGCCATCTGCACCATTTCTTTCCTCTTGGCTGTGACAGGTGAACTGTTCTAGCACAGACCAGGTCACTGCCCTGTGCCTTGAAGCTCAAATGATAAAACCTAAGCCCCTCAGCCCAGCTGCTGGTCCTTTGGCAAACCAACCCCTGTGCCTGTGCCCCTCAGTGAAATATCTTCTGTCCCAAAGGGCTGCTGGCACACTGGCTTCACCTGTCTTGGTTTTTCTCAGATTCCATGCAGATCTCTATCAGAGCATTAATGCATTTACTGGTTTACACATCCTTCTCTTTCTTCCAGATTGTGAGCCTCATAAGGTCAGGGACTGTGTATTTATCTCCGTATTCACAGGGCCTGGTGCAGGGATGGTACAGAATAGACATCTAGCAAATACCTAATCATCCCCACCAAGCCCCAGTTTCTTCCTAGGAGAAAACGGAGGTAACAATATCCATCTTGTGGGGACACCAGGAAGGTTAACTGAGATAATGTCTAAACAGGCTTAGCAGAGCATTCAGCACATAGTAAGTACTCAATAAATGACATCGCCTATGATTACTATTATATTATTATGCTATACAATAATAATAATAAGCCCAGGTGCGGTGGCACACTTATAATCCCAGTGCTTTGGAAGGACGAGACAGGAAGATTACTTGAAGCCAGGAGTTTGAGACCAGCCCGGGCAACACAGTGAGATCCCATCTGTACAAAAAATTTCTTAAAAAATTAGCCAGACATGGTGGCATACCTGTAGTCCTAGCTACTTGGGAGGCTGCAGTGGGAGGATCGCTTCAGCCCAGGATTTGAGGTTGCAGTGAGCTATGACTGTGCCACTACATTCCAGCCTGGACAACGGACTGAGATTCTGCCTCTGAAAAAATTAATGTTAAGTTAGTTAAAATTAATTAAAAAAAAATTTTTTTTTTGAGATGGAGTTTCACTCTTATTGCCCAGGCTAGAGAGCAATGGCACAGTCTTGGCTCACTGCAACCTCTGCCACCCGGGTTCAAACAATTCTCCTGCTTCAGCCTCTCAAGTAGCTGGGATTACAGGCGCCTGCCACAACGCCCAGCTAATTTTTGTATTTTTAGTAGAGACAGGGTTTCACCATGTTGGCTAGGCTGGTCTTGAACTCCTGACCTCGTGATCTGCCCACTTTAGCCTCCCAAAGTGCTGGGATTACAGGTGTGAGCCACAGCGCCTGGCCTAATTTAAATTTTTTTTTTTTTTTTTGAGATGGAGTCTCGCTCTGTCGCCCAGGCTGGAGTGCAGTGGCCGGATCTCAGCTCACTGCAAGCTCTGCCTCCCGGGTTCACGCCATTCTCCTGCCTCAACCTCCCGAGTAGCTGGGACTACAGGCGCCCGCCACCTCGCCCGGCTAGTTTTTTGTATTTTTCAGTAGAGACGGGGTTTCACTGTGTTAGCCAGGATGGTCTGGATCTCCTGACCTCGTGATCCGCCCGTCTCGGCCTCCCAAAGTGCTGGGATTACAGGCATGAGCCACCGCGCCCGGCCTAAATTTTTTAAATGAAAAAATTAATTTACATTTAAATCCTGACTTTGGCCATGGTAGGAGTGAACTTTAATATTCCTTGTCCCATGAACTGGGACTGACTAAATGTGTCCCTAGTTGCAGTATTATTTTTTTTGTTTTCTTGTGTCTATTTTAGATTAAATCAGACAACATGTGCATGCTTTACCTATAAAGTTTCTCTCAATTCTTGGACAAAGATTCACTCAAATGAGCTGGAAGGTGAGACATCAAGGATGAATACCTCCTTTTTCTGTGTTGCTTTTGACATCTTAGTGATCTCTGCCTCTCTGTGGATGAACCATAAAGACACCAACAGAAACATTAAAAAACCAGTTATGATCAAGAGAATGAAAAAGGGAATCCCCAGGATTATGTGAACAGTTTAGAAATTCACTCAGGTGAAGCAGGTGAGAAGGCTGAGAAATGAAGGTGAAATTGACAGACTGTGTCAAGTGTCTGCATGAACTGGGAGATTTATACAACCAATGGATAATTCGGAGATGCACTGTGGTAAATACAAAAGAAAAAAAAAAAACAAGCAAGAGAACAGGCAAATTGAGATAAATAAATAGACTCAGTTCCAGGGATATCAAGACTTTTACAAGAAAGGAAAAAATAACTATAGTACACTTTATGGCTCAGCTGGCAATAATGTTATGGTATCATTATGCTGCTTAGTGATCCAACCAAAATTACAATATAAACCCATTGGGAGGATGGGAGATGGGAAGTGTGTGCATGTGTGAGAGAGAGCCCGGCCCTCATCTTTCCTACTGAGAAGTCAATAGATAATGCCTAACATGGAAAAATCAAGAGGAAGCTGGGTGGGGCGCAGTGGCTCATGCCTGTAATCCAGGCACTTTGGGAGGCCAAGGCAGGTGGATCAACTGAGGTCAGGAGTTCAAGACCAGCCTGGTCAACATGGCAAAACCCCATCTCTATTAAAAATATAAAAATTAGCCAGGCATGGTGGCAGGTGCCTGTAATCCCAGCTACTTGGGAGGCTGAGGCAGGAGAATCACTTGAACCCAGGAGGTGGAGGTTGCAGTGAGCCAAGATCACGCCACTGCACTCCAGCCTGTGCAATAGAGTGAGACTCCGTCTCAAACAAACATACACACCACAAACAAAAAAGAAGAAGCTGCAGCAGTGTGGTATTTAGATATACAGTGGAGAAAAAATACCAAAATGATCAGTTAAAAAAGAGGAAAGTAAAAAAAAAATAGAGGAAAGTGTTGTGGGGGAAAAGGAAAAGCGGCCTAGAGGAGTGCAATTTTTTGTAACAAGCTTTGTAGAACTATTAATTTGATAATTTGATAGGCGCTTCTATTATGCTCCCTCTGAGCCTTTGCCCCCTGCTCCTCTAACCACTGGGCTTGCCGGCCTCTTTCCAATATGCCCTCCTTCCGCCTGGCAAACATCTTGTCTTTTCTAAACTCGGCCCATGGACATGACATCTGTAAAGTGTTTCTGTGTGACTCCCAGGCTTCTGCCTTCATTTTCCTCTGTCCAATACTTAGAGCATTTAATGTGTTGATACGTCTCTCTTCCCTCTACCAGATGGTGACTCCCTTGAGAACAGGGACTGTGTCTTATCTAGTGTTAATTACCCAGTGTCTACAGCAGAGAACTTCAGAAACCTTTCTAAACCTGGGCTTGCCGCTGTGTAAAATGCAGTGCATAATCCCTACTTCATATGGCTGGTATGAAAGTTTAACCTTTGTATGAGGTCATATTTGTAACGTACTTACCAACGTGCATTTAATAAAATACTGAGTGAAAGAGTAAATGTATGAATACATGTAGTGACCCAAGCACCAACTCTCTACTCCTGCTTTTCACTCAGCCTAGAAAAACTACAATGGAATCTTTCCCCTATGGTGAAATCGTGATTCCTATTTCTCAGTCTTTGGCCACAATTTTCTTATTTTCTTGTTCTTCCACTCCACCTCATAGCAGAAATATCACAGATTCTGTAGGCGCTTCCTGGTTCTAGGTTGCGGAGCTCCTCAGGGCTTGGTGAGTGGAAGGAAATGTTCAACTTCTGCTTCTCTTCTCTTTTCCTCTCCTCCTTTCCCCTCCTGTGGGTGAAACAAACAAATAAAAACAAAAATTAATTTACAAATGTAATTTCTTCAAAGACTGCATGTGAGCAGTGGCGTGGCCAGTGGTGATCCTTGTGTGCATGGAATATTGAGGGCGTGCTCCTGCCTCCAGAGAAAGTGGTCGAGTAGGACAGCTGGCATCCACGGCTTCCACATCCCCGGTGCCTCCACCCTTCATCTTTCACCAGTACTGACAGGAACACTGCTGCATGGGATCTGAGCTGGGCCCCACAAACCTCTAGGCAGCAAGCAGGTACTACCCCATTGGAGGTTGACATCCCTCTGGTGATGCTGAAAACCTGGATTGTGTTTTCTAACTCTGTGTTCCCTACTGCTTTACACCTCCAGATGTGAATCTTCAGAATATTATATGCTGGGCTATGGCATGGAGACTAGTCTCACAAGCCTAAAGGACTTCCTTTAATATTTCACGAAAGCATCACATTTCTTTCTTTTCCTTCCTTCCTTCCTTCCTTCCTTCCTTCCTTCCTTCCTTCCTTCCTTTCTTTCTTTCTTTGAGATGGAGTATCGCTCTGTCACCAGGCTGGAGTGCAGTGTCGTGATCTTGGCTCACTGCAACCTCTGACTCCCGGGTTCAAGTGATTCTCCTGCCTCAGCCTCCCAAGTAGCTGGGATTATAGGCATGTACCACCACGCCCAGCTAATTTTTTTTTTTGTATTTTTTTTTTTTTTTAAGTAGAGACGGGGTTTCACTATGTTGGCCAAGATGGTCTTGATCTCCTGACCTTGTGATCCGCCCACCTTGTCCTCCCAACCTGCTGGAATTACAGGCGTGAGCCACCGTGCCCAGCCTATACTTCTTCTATTTAGGTTCACTGTCCTTATTTGGAAAGAACATGCTACAACTTGAAGGAGAAATCATAAGACATACTAAAAAGTATTTTGAAATAAAAACAAAAACATAACATAATAAAACTTATGGAGTAAAGCAAAAGCAGTGCTAAGAGAGAAATTTATAGCTATAAATGCCTATGTTTTAAAAAGAAGAAACATCTCAAATCAATAACTTCACTTTATGACTTATGGACTTAGCAAAAGAAGCACAAACTAAATCTGAAGCTGGCAGAAGGAAGGAGATTAAGATTAGAGCAGAGGACATGAAATAGAGAATAGAAAAAATAGAAGGTCAGTTGAAGGAAACAAAATGTTAGTTATCAATAAAATTAACAAACTGAGTTTGAATGACTACCAAGAAAAGGACACACATAGATGAAAATGGGAACATGATTACCGACCTTACAGAAATAAAGCTTGTAAGAGAATACAAATGCCAATAAATTACATAGCCTGTATGAAATGGAAAACTTCATAGAAATACACAAATTACCAAAACTGACTCAAGAAAAAAATAAAAATTCTGCATAGAATTATAACAAATAAAACAATTGAATCAATAATAAAAAATCTCCCTTTGAACAAAGAAAAGTGAAAGACTACAGGGCTTCATTTGTGAATTCTACCAAACCGTTAAGGAAGAATTAACACCAATTCTTCTCAAGCTCTTCCAAAAAATAGAAGAGCAAATAGTTTTTCATAGCTTATTTTATGGGGCCGGCATCATGCTGATACCAGAATTAGAAAAAGAAATGACAAGAAAAGAAAATTATAGACCACTATTCCTTAAGAATACAAATGCAGAGATCTTCAACAAATACTAGCAAACTGACTCCAACAGACTATTAAAAGGATTATACACCAGGACCAATGGGATTTACCCCAGGAATCTGAGGGTGGTTCCCCTCAGTGAAACACAAATGGATCAGGGTATAGAGCACAATAAAGGAATGAAGAGAAAACCCCACATAATTATCTCAATGATGCAGAGAAAGCATTTGACAAGAACCAACAGCATTTCATGATAATAAACACTCAGAAAAAATAGGAATAGAATGGAATTACTCTAACATGATTATGGACATTTATGACAAACCCACAGATAACAGCACACTCAATGGTTAAAGACTGAAAGCCTTTCCCTAAGACCAGGGACAGGACAAAATGCGTCCTTTCACTGCTAGTATTCCACTTTGTATCAGAAGCTCTAGACAGATAATTAGGCAAGAAATAAAAGGCATCCAAATTGGAAGTGAAGAAGTAAAACTATATCTACAGACAGCATGATTCTATATGTAGAAAATGCCAACACAGCAAGACCCTGTCTCTACAAAGAAATTTTAGCCAGGCGTGGTGGCTCATGCCTGTAATTCCAGGACTTTGGGAGGCTGAGGTGGGTGGATCACCTGAGGTCAGGAGTTTGAAACTAGCCTGGTCAACATGGTGAAACCCTGTCTCTACTAAAAATGCAAAGATTAGGCGGGTGTGGTGGTGCGTGTCTGTAGTCCCAGCTACTCAGGAGGCTGAGGCAGGAGAATCATTTGAACCTGGGAGGCAGAGGTTGCAGTGAGCCAAGATCGCGCCATTGCACTCCAGCCTGGGTGACAGAGCAACTCTGTCTCAAAAAAAAAAAAAAAAAAGGGCTGGGCACCATGGCTCACGCCTGTAATCCGGCACTTTGGGAGACCGAGATGGGCGGATCACGAGGTCAGGAGATCGAGACCATCCTGGCTAACACAGTGAAACCCTGTCTCTACTAAAAATACAAAAAAATTAGCCGGGCATGGTAGCAGGCATCTGTAGTCCCAGCTACTCAGGAAACTGAGGCAGGAGAATGGCATGAACCCGGGAAGCGGAGGTTGCAGTAAGCCGAGATCGCACCACTGTACTCCAGCCTGGGCGACAGAGCAAGACTCCATCTCAAAAAAAAAAAAAAAAAAAAAAAAAGAGAAAAAGAAGAAAGAGGTTATAGGTTTAATTATATTCCCCAAAAGACATGTTAAGGTTGTAAACCCCAATACCCATGAATAACACCTTTTTTGGAAATAGTCTTTGTAGATGTAATCAAGTTCAATGAAGACATTAGCGTGGGCCTTTATCCAATATGACTGCTGTTTTTAGAAGAATAGATGCAGACAGACATGAAGAAGGCCAGGTGATGACAGAGGCAGAGATTGGAGTGAGGCATCTACAAGCCAAGGACAGCCATGGACTGTTGGCAACCGCACGAAGCTAGGGAGAGGCAAAGGAAGACTACCCTGAACCCTGCAGAGGAAGCATGGCCCTGCTGACACCTTGACTTTGGAGTTTAGCCTCCAGAACTGTGAGAAAATAAATTTATGTTGTTTGAAAAAGAAAAGAAATATATATACAGATGCCAAGAGGCGAATAAAGAAAGATAAGAACATTAGAGGATCAATCCAGGAGGTCTGACAATTGACTATCATAGTTCCAGAAATAGCAAAGAAAATGAAGGGAATTTTCAAAGAAATAATACAAGCAAAAATCTCAGAATTGGAGGACTCTGCCCTCTGGACTGAGAGCACTCCCGACCTCAGTGACGCATATTAAGAAAAGGACTCATACCAAAGTATATCATTGGGAAACTTCAGGATACTAAGAATGAAGACAGGCCGGGCGCGGTGACTCAAGCTTGTAATCCCAGCACTTTGGGAGGCCGAGACGGGCAGATCACGAGGTCAGGAGATCGAGACCATCCTGGCTAACATGGTGAAACCCCGTCTCTACTAAAAAATACAAAAAACTAGCCAGGCACAGTGGCGGGCGCCTGTAGTCCCAGCTACTCGGGAGGCTGAGGCAGGAGAACTGCCTGAACCCAGGAGAAGGAGGTTGCAGTGAGCCCAAGATTGGTGCCCACTTGCACTGGCCAGCCTGGGGTGACAAGAAGGAGGACCTCCCATCTCAAAAAAAAAAAAAAAAAAAAAAAGACGTTTTGGACATGCAAAGACTCAAATATTTCCCATATGCCTTTTTTGTTGGGAACTACTAGAAGATGTACTCCAGCAAAGTGAACATGGCTTTTTAGGTCAGGACTATGAGACAGACTTGGGCTGTCCATGGCCCTGAGGCAGAGGCAGCTTGAAAAAGAATTCAGCCCACAGAAGGGAAAAGGATCAAGAGACAGAGAGAGAAAGAGCCTGAAAATATCAAGTTCTTAGGTTTAATATGCCTGCAGATGGCCTGTCATGGCCTTCCCAGTTATTTAAGCTACTACATTCTCCTTCCATTTAAGCTAGTTTGAGCTGGCTTCCTGGCACATGCAACCAAGGAGCTCTGTCTCATACACTTCATAAAGTACATAGGCCAATGCTTGGTATAGAGGAAGTACAAATCATTAGTAGTCCTTACTATCACCAATAATAACACTAAAACTAAAATGAGAGTAGTGTGAGTAATACATAAAAGTGAACTTTTTTTTGAGATGGAGTCTAGTTCTGTCTCCAGGATGGAGTGCAGTGGCGTGATCTTGGCTCACTGCAACCTCCGCCTCCCGGATTCAAGCAATTCTCCTGCCTCAGCCTCCCGAGTAGCTGGGATTACAGGCATGCCCAGCTAATTTTTGTATTTTTAGTAGAGGTGGGGTTTCACTATGTTGGCCAGGATGGTCTCCATCTCTTGACCTCATGATCTGCCCACCTCGGCCTCCCAAAGTAGTGGGATTACAGGTGTGAGCCACAGTGCCTGGCCATAAGTGAACTTTTATATGCTCTTTCCTATGTTTTAAGAATTTTCCAGCCTGGGCAACACAGTGAGACCCCCATCTCTACAAAAATAAAAAATGAGCCGGGCGTGGTGGCACACATCTGTGGTCCCAGATACTCAGGAGGCTGAAGTGGGAGGATTGCTTGAGCCTGGGAGGTGGAGGCTGCAGTGAGCTATGATGGCACCACTGCAGTCAGCCTTGAGGAGACAGTGAGACTCTGTCTCAAAAAAATAAAATAAAATAATTCTTATTCTTACACTGTTCACACTTCTACATTTCCCATGGTTTTTGTTCGAACAAACTGTAAAAGAAACTCAATTTCTCTCTGGAGACTTCCCTTCATTTTTTTGTCAGGTGATTCCTCATTGAAGGCTGAAGGTGGGACGAACATGTGGTTTGCCTTTTTTTTATCTGCTGCTTTTTGATCAATATTCTTCATTTCCCTGAGGAGAAAACACAGAGACATATAGAAAAAGGCTGGAGTAATTAACATGTCCTCAATGTTCTGTATGTCCTGTAAACTGATAGATCTGCGTGACCATTTACAAAGCATATATTGAAGTATAACGTAGAAACTAGGAGTGCACAGATTCTAAGTGTGCAGCTCATGACATTTTCATATACTGAACACGTCCATGTAACCAGCACTCAGAATGAGAAAGAGAACGCTGCCAGCTCCTTAGAAGCCGCCTCATGTCTCTGCTCAGTCACTATCCTACTTCCTTAAGAGTAACCCTGCCTGGATGTCTAGCAGCACAGGTGTGTTTTAAGGCACCATTTTTATCTGTAGACAAAACTTTGAGAATCACTTTATTAATATAAGGCATGATGAGCTTCTCAACAATATCTTTTCTTTTTTTTTTTTTTTTATTCTTTGCGGCTGGAGTGCAGTGGGATTCTCCTTTCCGTTTTCTTGTCAGTTCTTTTTTTTTTTTTGAGATGGAGTCTCGCTCTGTCGCCCAGGCTGGAGTGCAGTGGCATGATCTTGGCTCACTGCAATCTCCACCTCCCAGGTTCAAGCGATTCTCCTGCCTCAGCCTCCTAAGTAGCTGGAACTACAGGCGCCTGCCACCACGCCCGGTTAATTATTTGCATTTTTAGTAGAGATGGGGTTTCACAGTGTTAGCCAGGATGGTCTCGATCTCTTGACCTCATGATCCACCCACCTCAGCCTCCCCAAGTGCTGGGATTACAGGTGTGAGCCACCGCGCTCAGCGGTGTTTAATATCTTAAACAACAAAAAGTGTAATGTATTTAGCAATGCAACTTCTAACGCACAGTTACAAACTTCCTCCTGGCAAAAAAATCTTTACTATGATAATTCACCTAATAAGAATTTATTTATTAAACAGGAGATCCTTTATTTCTGAAATGTATAAGCTGTAAAGTTAACCCTGGATATTCTATGTGAATTTAATGTTAACTTTAAACTAGTTCTGAACTTCAAAACGTTCTGGCCATGGAATGGAAGGGTTATTTGCAACTTCTAGAAGAAATACATTTCTTTGAACTCATCTTCCTTTGAACTGGATGAAATGTGGACCTGGTGGCTGGAACTTGAGCAGCCGTTTTTTACTATGAAGCTAAATCATGGGCTGAAGCTAGTGGAGCAATATGATAAAAGATCTTGGCCGGGCACAGTGGCTCACGCCTATAATCCCAGCACTTTGGGAGGCCGAGGCGGGTGGATCACGAGGTCAGGAGATCGAGACCATCCTGGCAAGCATTGTGAAACCCCGTCTCTACTAAAAATACAAAAAAATTAGCCAGGCGTGGTGGTGGGCGCCTGTAGTCCCAGCTACTCGGGAGGCTGAGGCAGGAGAATGGCATGAACCTGGTGGGCGGAGCTTGCAGTGAGCCGAGATTGTGCTACTGCACTCCAGCCTGGGTAACAGAGTGAGACTCCATCTCAAATAAAAAAAAAAGACCCTGTCACTATGAACTTTCATATCTACTGGAGTCCTTGTAAATGAGAGAAAAGAAATTGTAATAAATTTTAGCCACTGTTTGAGTTTTTCTGTCATTCTAAGCCAAACATAATTATAACTGATACAATTACCTACCTATGGGCCTAGTTCTGAGAAAAGTCTTTACAGACCTTAATTTATTTGATCAATAAACCCCTACAAACTAGGAAATACTATCAAATGACTGAAGTGCAACAAAACAACTGAGGATCAGTGAGCTATGTGCAAATAACCCTTCCATTTTTTTTTTTTTTTTTTTTTTAGAGGATTCGCTTGTCGAGCTGGAGAGGGCGATCTCGCCATCAGCTCCCCTCCCTTCCCATCTCCCCCCTCCGATGACACAGCCCCAACCGCCCCTAATTTTTTTTTTTTTTAGTGAGGTTCACTTTTTCTTTGTGATCGCCTCGCTGAATGTGATACGTACCACGCCCATTCATTTTTATTCCATGACTAGAACTTAGCCCCATACCAGGACCTACCTGTGGCCTCAAAAAGGCAAAAATAGTTTAATAGTCCATGGTAACAGAACCAGTAAGTAAAAATACCTGTATTCCTACCTTAGCCTCGGCCATTCCATGGATCCTGCCATCAAGGCTTGTTACAACCATTGGGAGAGACAGATATGTAAGCAATCATAATGCCTGGTACCCAGAAGGTGCTGAAAATATCTGTTGGGACAATGAACTATAGAATAAAGAAAGCTTAATGGGCTGGGTGCGGTGGCTCATGCCTATAATCCTAGCACTTTGAGGTCAAGAGGTCGAGACCATCCTGGCCAACATGGTGAAACCCCGTCTCTACTAAAAATTCAAAATTAAAAGGCCAGTCATGGTGGCTCACACCTGTAATCCCAGCACTTTGGGAGGCCAAGGCGGGCAGATCATGAGGTCAGGAGATCGAGACCATCCTGGCTAACACGGTGAAACCCCGTCTCTACTAAAAATATAAAAAATTAGCCAGGCGTGGTGGCAGGCGCCTGTAGTCCCAGCTACTCGGGAGGCTGAGGCAGGAGAATGGCGTGAACCTGTGGGGGTGAAGCTTGCAGTGAGCCGAGATTGTGCCATTGCGCTCCAGCCTGGGAGACAGAGCAAGACTCCGTCTCAAAAAAAAAGAAAAAAATAAATAAACTATATATATATATATGTGTGTGTGTGTGTGTGTGTGTGTGTACACACATACATGCATCATCTGTGAAAGATTCTGGGCAAAAGGATTTAACTTGAATCTAATCAAACCTCTAGCATAGACCTAATGTCCAGTGTATAGGAATAGGCTATATTGGAACAAATTCAATGATACTTTGAGGAAATATCAGAAAAACCCAGAGTGTGGCTTGAGCTTTTCAAAAAAACCCATGTCGTAAAAAACAATTAATAAAAGGCAGAGGCAGGATACTGTTATAGATTCAAAGATCCCAAAGGATAAAACTAAATATAATTTCTGGCTAGGCACGGTGGCTCACGTCTATAATCTCAACAGTTTGGGAGGCTGAGGCTGGGGCAGATCACCTGAGGTCAGGAGTTTGAGACCAGCCTGGCAACATGGCGAATCCCCTTGTCTACTAAAAATACAAAAATTAGCCGGGCATGGTGGGGCACACCTATCGTCCCAGCTACTCGGGAGGCTGAGGTGGGAGGATTGCTTGAGCCCAGGAGGCAGAGGCTGCAGTAAGCCAAGATCACACCACTGCACTCCAGCCTGGGCGACAGACTGAGACTCTGTCTCAAAAAAACAAAAAACAAAATATAGTTCATGATTCTTTTTTTTTTTTTTTTTGGTTTTTTTTTTTTTTTTTTTTTTTTTTTTTTCTTTACTATGCTGCATCTCGTCATGCATCCTGGTTCGCATTTCTGTCAGTCTGGATAAGCACTGCTGTTTTTTTTTTTTTAGAATTTACGTTAAGATTCTTATTATTATTTCTAAATCTATAGTTCATGATTCTTGATTGGATCCTGGAGCAGCAGGTAAAGCCAAAAAAGACACATTGAGTTAGGCACGGTGGCTCATGTCTGTAATCCCAGCACTCCAGAGGAGGTTAAGGCAGGAGGATCACTTGAACCCAGGAGTTCGAAGCTGCAGTGGGCTGTAATTGAGCTGCTGCACTCCAGCCTGGGTGACTAAGACCCTGTCTCCAAAAATAAAAATACAGTTGGGGACAATTGGGGAAATTTGAATTTGGATTAGATATTAGAGAAAGAAAGCAAATGGGGCAAAATGTGAATACTTCGTAAATGCCTGATGGCACATGCTTGTTCAGTGTACTATCAACTTTCTGAAAGGTTTTTCTAAGTAAAATAAAAATTTTGAAAAAGGCAGAAGACAGAGGAAAATGTCCATAATATGCGCTGGCCAAAGTGGGGATAAGAATTAGTTCTCCTAAAAAAAAGCAGATATAGAAATAGAATGTTCATTTATATGTCAAATGAACAGAGACGCCAAAAATAAAAAACAGACTGACAATATGATTCTACTACTTTATTTAGTGATACAGATATATGGGCCCAGAAAAAAAAGACTGCAAGGATTTACGGGAAAATGTTGGCAATGTGTATCTCTTGGTACTTTTATGTGGTTTTCCGGATCCTTTGTTTGCTTTCATTGAACACATAATGTTTTTGTAGTTAGAAAAAACAAAAAACAAAAAAAAAAAGCTCTGGTCTCTGTTATTAGGAGTTTATATTCTGACCACAAGAAAGCTGATTATGCTTATGATAGTTACAGGAAACCCCCCCGCCCCCACCAACCCATTTAAAAATGATGATGATGATGACAATGTGCTGCAAAAGATGAGTGCTGGAGCAATGGCATTCCCCAAAGCCCCTTCCATACCTGGAGAAGTTGTCTTGCAGTTCCTTTAGATGCTTGTCAAAATAATTCCATTCACTCCAGTGACGCTGGTACAACTGATTGAGGTTGTCTTTCCGCTTCTTCATGCTGCACAGGGTCTCGCTGATGACATCAGTATATGTTGGGGTGCAGTCAGTGGCTTCCGCTGTTAAGGAAATCCCCGTACTGTCGAACTTCGTTGACGCTGCATTATTAGTGGCATGAGCGCAGTGCATGGGGAGGAGGGGCATGGAGGACAGAGCAGGGAAAACGCCCTGCATTTCTGGATAAGATACTTGAAATCTGAGCAGGAAATGACTCTCCTGTTCTTTGACCATGTCCTGCTTTGGAGGGAAGAGGCTATCCTATCTGTGGCCAGGCATTCTCTACCTAGGAATAAAGGCCTCCTCTGCCCCTGTGGATGGAAGGCAGGGCTAAGAAATACTTTTTTAGACTGTCATCTGAAATTCTTACTCTATTATCACAGCGGTGAATAGGAAGGGCTTCCAGCTTTCCTTTTCTCTCAGCCCAAGGCCTCATTGTCCATCTCATTTGTATATAAAAACATTCTCGGCCAGGCGCGGTGGCTCACACCCGTAATCCCAGCACTTTGGGAGGCTGAGGTGGGCGGATCACAAGGTCAGGAGATCAAGACCATCCTGGCTAACACAGTGAAACCCTGTCTCTACTAAAAAATAGAAAAAATTAGCCGGGCGTGGTGGGGGGCACCTGTAGTCCCAGCTACTTGGGAGGCTGATGCAGGAGAATGGTGTGAACCCAGGAGGCGGAGCTTGCAGTGAGCCAAGATCACGCCACTGTACTCCAGCCCGGGTGACAGAGTGAGACTCCATCTCAAAAAAAAAAAAAAAAAAAAAAAAAATTAGCTGGGCATAGTGGCACATGCCTGTAATCCCAGCTACTTGGGAGGCTGAGGCAGGAGAATCGCTTGAACCCAGGAGGCAGACGTTGCGGTGAGCCGAAATTGCGCCACTGCACTCCAGCCTGGGCAACAGAGCGAGACTCTGTCTTAAAAAAAAAAAAAAAAAAAAAATTCTCCCTCTGCTCTGCCCTCCTTCCACCCCTTCTTGATTGATTAGAATCTCAGCTACACTTGCCACAAGCTGTGGGACCTCAGACAAGATAGCAGTCATCCTCTGTGCCTCCATTTCCATATCTGTAAAACAGAGATAATAATGCCCACTTTAGATGATGTGAATCATAATTGTGGTAGTTATTCATGTAGTATCAGCTGTATGCCATTTAATCCTCATCACAACACTACAAGTTTGGTATAACTATCCAAATTTTAGGAATGAATGGATAAAGATATTGAGCTTGGAGGTCGAGCTGTGCACATAAGACCTTAAAGCCAGTGGTTGCTAAACTGGGACTCAAATCTAAGGCTGTGTATCCCAACCCAAATTCCTTCCACTACACTAAACTGTCTTTAGAGAACAATGAAGTGATGTTTGGGAAAACATGTTGCAAGAAATAAAACACTATGAAATGTGAGTTTTTGTTACTACTCTCTCCCTATAGAACATGTAAGTAAGTTTGTGGACATGGAGTTCTATGCAGCAGACGATGCAAAGTTCTCCCTAGTTCATTACAAAACTCCTCCTGTTGGGGAGCTCAATGTAGACGTGGATCATCTCAGCCCCTGTTATCTGCCAGACACTTATCTCTGTTGTGTCTGTAATCTGCATAATAGCCCTATGAGGCAGGTACTCTTATCCCTATTTTACAGGTGAAAAAAATGACGCACAGAGAGAAGCTGGAACTTATCTCAAATCACTCAGTTTGCAGGAGAGTTGGTTCCTGAGTCCAGGTCTATTTGAACCAATAGACCAGTTTGATTCCAAATAGAACCCGTGTTCTCTGACTCCTATGGTAAGCTGCTAAGACTCAGGACGCCAACATATGCCACACTTATTTTCTTTTTTCTTTTCTTTTTTTTTGAGATGGAGTTTCGCTCTTGCTGCCCAGGCTGGAGTGCAATGGCGCAATCTCGGGTCACTGCAACCTCTGCCTCCTGGGTTCAAGCGATTCTCCTGCCTCAGCCTCCCAAGTAGCTGGGATTATAGGCATGCACCACCAGGCCCAGCTAATTTTTTTTTTATTTTTACTAGAGACAGGGTTTCATCGTGTTAACCAGGCTGGTCTCGAACTCCTTACCTCAGATGATCCACTCATCTTGGCTCTCACAGTGCTGGAATTACAGGCATGAGCCACCACGCCTGGCCAACCACAACTGTTTTCTTGACATCTGAGCTTTCTATTCGATCTTTAGGATAAATGGCAACAGGGTCAGGGATTTGCTGATGGGTCTAAGGCAGGAGTGTGTCTGAGGAAGGTGTTAGATGAAACATACATGTGGACAACAAAATTCCTGGTCAGTACATACTCTGGGGTCAACGAGTGTTGGGGAAGCATTACTTGGTTTCAACGTATGTTAGAATACCGAGTTAGCACATTCATTCTGGTAGGTGGAAAGAGATTTTGCACACAAGGAAATTTGACGCACCCCAGGGTCTCACGGCCAGTTCACAAGGCTGGCTCTAGATTTGGAACTAAGATGAGCACGATTCTGACCCTGAGGCTCATACCACTGGCCACCTCTGGCGAGTACACATGGTGTGCCAGGCGCTGTGCTAAGGCCTGGGTGCCATTCCCTGACCTTTGCTTCTGGGAAGAGGACATGGGGGCCTGGAGCAGTGTGCACCCTGACCACAGTGACAAGGATATGGGGTGCTCATGGTCTTTTCCCTTCTGACTATCAACACATTCTTGCCGTGCTGCTGCAGACCGACGTAGTTCTGGAGAAAGTACACAATCAGAGGGCTCTTCCCATAAATGTTGAAGAGGTTTGAAGTCAGCTCAGGGCTTTTGCAGGCAGCACATGACTGAGGATGGAAGAAAAAGGAAAAATGAAGGATAATGTTATTTTTACAGTATGCATTAAGAACTGGAAAGGCATCAAAGCACTCATGTGCTTTGATCCAGTCATTCCAGTTTTAGGATGCATCCTAAGAAAATTACTCAAAATAAAGAAAAAAAAAAGTCAAGGGGCAAATATGTCCACTGCAGAGATACTTACTGTATGTAGCAAAAGATGAGAATAACTTAAATGTTCAAAGAGAAGATATTGATCTCTTTACCCAAAGGAATGGTATGCCACTATTAAAATGTTTATGAAGAGTTAATAACATAAAACAGGTTTCAGGTATAAGAGTAAATTTTTAGGCCGGGCGCGGTGGCTCAAGCCTATAATCCCAGCACTTTGGGAGGCTGAGGCGGGCGGATCACGAGGTCAGGAGATTGAGACCATCCTGGCTAACACGGTGAAACCCCATCTTTACTAAAAATACAAAAAAATTATCCGGGTGTGGCAGCAGGCACCTGTAGTCCCAGCTACTCGGGAGGCCGAGGCAGGAGAATGGCATGAACCCGGGAGGCGGAGCTTGCAGTGAGCCAAGATCGCACCACTGCACTCCAGCCTGGGTGACAGAGCAAGACTCTGTCTCAAAAAAAAAAAAAAAAAGAGTAAATTTTTAAATACTGAGATGCAAAGTTTGATAGTGTTTTTTTTTTTTTTTTTTTTTTGAGACGGAGTCTCACTCTGTCCCCCTTGCTGGAGTGCAGTGGCCGGATCTCAGCTCACTGCAAGCTCCGCCTCCCGGGTTCAGGCCATTCTCCTGCCTCAGCCTCCCGAGTAGCTGGGACTACAGGCGCCCGCCACCTCGCCCGGCTAGTTTTTTTTTTGTATTTTTTAGTAGAGACGGGGTTTCACTGTGTTAGCCAGGATGGTCTCGATCTCCTGACCTCGTGATCCACCCGTCTCGGCCTCCCAAAGTGCTGGGATTACAGGCTTGAGCCACCTCGCCCGGCCGATAGTGTTTTTATATGTGTGTGTGTGTGTGTGTGTGTGTGTGTGTGTGTGTATATATTTTTTTAAATTTTACTTTTGAGACTTGAGTCTCAATGTGTTGCCCAGGCTGGAGTGCAGTGGCACAATCTCAGCTCACTGCAACCTCCATCTCCCAGATTCAAGCAATTCTCCTGCCTCAGCCTCCCAAGTAGCTGGGATTACAGGGGCCTGCCACCACACCTGGCTAATTTTTGTATTTTTAGTAGAGACAGGGTTTCACCACGTTGGCCAGGCTGGTCTCAAACTCCTGACCTCAGGTAATCTGCCTGCCTCGGCCTCCCAAAGTGCTCGGATTATAGGCATGAGCCACTGTGCCCAGCTGATAGTGTTATATATTTTATAGAAAATAATTTAGTAAAAGCCGGGTGCGGTAGCTCACACCTGTAATCCCAGCACTTTGGGAGGCTGAGGCAGATTGCAAGGTAGAGCGATCGAGACCATCCTAGCAAACATGGTGAAACCATGTCTCTACTAAAAATACAAAAATTAGCTGGGTGTGGTGGCGTGCGCCTGTAGTCCCAGCTATGCAGGAGGCTGAGGCAGGAGAATCACTTGAACCTGGGAGGCGAAGGTTGCAGTGAGCCAAGATTGCGCCACTGCACTCCAGCCTGGTGACAGAGTGAGACTCTGTCTCAAAAAAAAAAAAAAAAAAAATTATTTAGTATAAAACAGATAGATGAGAGACTGGAAGGCTCTTACCAAAATGTTAATAATTCATTCAGCAAATATGTATTGAGTGATTACCGTGTATAAATACTATTTTAGGTGCTGGAGATTCAGCAGAGGACAAGACAAATTCCAGCCCTTAGGGAGTTTGCATTACAGGTGGAAGAAAACAATAAAAATAAATGAACAAATAAAACCATAACATGATATGATGAATACTAATAAGATCAAGCAGGCCAGGGTATGGAGAGTGGTAGGGAGGAGAGGACTGGGGTTCCACGGGGTGATCAGGGAAGGCTGTGAGGAGGTGAGACCCCAGGGATCCTGAATGCTGTGGGGGAGGGAGCCATGAGAAGATCTATCAGGAGATGTTCCTGGCTAAGAGGACAGCAGGTGCAACAGATCCAGCCACGATATGTGCTTGGTATGGCTGAGGAGCAGAAATAGGGCGGCTCACAAGGGTGGGGGCGGGTGCAGAGGGAGCAGGCGCTGTGGTCATGGTGAGAAGCTGGGATCTTTTTTCTAAGGGTCATGGATGCCACTGGCAGATTCTGAGCTGGGGTACAACATAATCTGAGTAATCTGTTAAGGTCTCTTTGACTGATGTGAGGAGAAATGCCTGTGATGGGTGAGAACAGGTACAGAAGAGCAGTCAGGAGACCGCTGCAGCAGTGGGGGAATTTCTGATGGGGCTCAGGACTTGGTGGTTGCACACAAGGGGTGAAAAGTGAGCAGATTTACAACACATTATAAAGGAGAACTGGCAGGAGTTGCTGACAGACTCAACTCCACATGGGTGTGAGAAAGAGAAGAGTCTAGGGCGGCTCAGACGGCTTGGGTGTCAGCTGCTCAGGTGGGACGATCTGGGGAGGAACAGGTTGGGGCGGTGGGAGAGTTGAGTCCCGTTTTGGGTGCTATTTGAGATGCTAATAGACAGCCAGGAGCAAACAGATCAGAAAGAGAACAGGCTGGGGCCAAGAATGGTTTGTTTTCTTCTGCCTTTTTCCAAAAATGACAGTACTACTTTTGTGTGTGTGTGTGTTTTTTTTGTTTTGTTTTTCTTATACTTTAAGTTCTAGGGTACATGTGCATAACGTGCAGGTTTGTTACATATGTATACTTGTGCCATGTTGGTGTGCTGCACCCATCAACTCGTCAGCACCCATCAACTCGTCATTTACATCAGGTGTAACTCCCAATGCAATCCCTCCCCCCTCCCCCCTCCCCATGATAGGCTCCGGTGTGTGATGTTCCCCTTCCCGAGTCCAAGTGATCTCATTGTTCAGTTCCCACCTGTGAGTGAGAACATGCGGTGTTTGGTTTTCTGTTCTTGTGATAGTTTGCTGAGAATGATGGTTTCCAGCTGCATCCATGTCCCTACAAAGGACACGAACTCATCCTTTTTTTATGGCTACATAGTATTCCATGGTGTTTATGTGCCACATTTTCTTAATCCAGTCTGTCACTGATGGACATTTGGGTTGTACTTTTGTGTTTAAAAAAAAATACATTTTATTTTGAAGAAGCAGTTATACCTTAATGGAACAAAAATTCCACCTCATGAATAAAGGCTGCAGCAGTACCCAACCACACTATTTTCTAATCCTGTCCTAATGGGATAGGGTTGCATTTAATTAATTGTCTAATGGGATTGCTTCTGTCTCCAGCAAAGTTTCTCAACCTCAGCATTATTGACATTTGGGGCTGGATGTTTCTTTGTTGGGAGAGGCTGTCCTGTGCATTGTACGATGCTGAGGAGCATCCCTGGCCTCCCCCGATGTCCCTCGGTCCCCAGCTGTGACAACTAGAAATGTCTCTAGAGCTGGCCAAATGTCTCCCAGGGGACAAAATTGCCCCATTTGAGAACCACTATTCTAATAGCAAGATACCACTGGAATCACAGAGACCTGGAGTTAGTAGGGAATTTATAGATCATTTGGTCCAGTGACTCTGACACCCTGTCTCCTAATGGGGGCCATGCTGTGTCTGGTGGTCACCAGGGAAATGAGGGAAACAAGGAAAATTCAATATGAGTCTAACAAGAAGTAAACTGATTCACTTTAAGGACTTTTTAAATTTTTTGCTTTGTGATATTAATGACTTTCTTTATAAAATGCTACTGATGACAGACAGCATTTTGTTTTAATGAATTTACTTAGTGAAAACCTTTTTTTTTCAAAGTCTACCAAAGTCCAGCATCTAGGATCCACTAATGCAGTGCAACGTTTCTCTGAGGATCATTCTTTTGGCAACCCAGTGTCCTTCCCCTTTCCTAACAGCCCCTGACTCTTTGTGTGTTTTTGGGGGGTGATCTGCCCTCTACTGCATTTGGGCTTGAAGTCTTTTTGTTTGTTTGTTTTTGTTTTTTGTTTTTGAGACGAAGTCTCACTCTGTAGCCAGGCTGGAGTACAGTGGCATGATCTTGGCTTACTGCAACCTCCGCCTCCTGGGTTCAAGTGATTCTCCTGCCTCAGCCTCCTGAGTAGCTGGGACTACAGGCAAGTGCCACCACGCCCGGCTAATTTTTGTAATTTTAGTAGAGATGGGGTTTCACCATGTTGGCCAGGATGGTTTCGATCTCCAGATCTCATGATCCACCCGCCTTGGCCTCCCAAAGTGCTGGTATTACAGGCGTGAGCCACCGCGGCCACCTGAGGGGGTTTTAAATCAGGTGTCTTGCTCCCCTGATGAGAGCCACAGGAGGGGTCTTCAGAGGCCTTCACAGGCTCTGGAGTCAGAATCTTCCTTTCACTTCCCCTACCCCAGACCCCTGCCACTCAGTTACAGCTCCTGGAATAGCCTGGCCATTCAAAACTTCTGCTCCTTGGATTCTGAGCTCTGAGTAGAGTGAAATATGGACTGAAAACATGTGGAGGTTCACCCATTCCAGAGATGTCACCTTGAAAAGATGGTTCAAGGGTTGCAACTACCTTGATGTTTCTGGTTCCTGGACTGATTCTCCAGACTCTTCAGTTACTCAATGTTCTTTCAGTTTTGGCTTAAGTTGGCCAGAGACAGCTTTGTTACTTATAAGCAAAGAAATGCAACTGATACACATCCTTTCAGTAATATTCTCAACAGGTAAGTGTACATTTTTGCTTCCCCAACTTTGGAGACACGGAACATGCTACCTTCGCAAACATCCAGTACCACTGTTCGTAAGTATCCGATTCCTCCCAGGCAGAAGGCAGGGTAGGGCGTTTGGGTATAGGGACCTGGGCATAGAAATGGGAAAGGCTGGCTCATACCCACATCACTAGGTAAAGAAGGAGCAATGGGCAAGGGAAGAGACAATCTGGAACATCCAATCTAAGGAGCAGATAGAAAGCAAAGCAGGAGGCCGGGCACTGTGGCTCACGCCTGTAATCACAGCACTTTGGGAAGCTGAGGTGGGTGGATCACTTGAGGTTGGGATTTCAAGACCAGCCTGGCCAACATGGCAAAACCCAGTCTCTACTAAAAATACAAAAATTAGCCGGGCGTGGTGGCGCACACCTGTAATCCCAGCACTTGGGAGGCTGAGGTGGGAGAATTGCTTGAACCCAGGAGACGGAGGTTGCAGTGAGCCGAGATCGTGCCACTGCACTCTAGCCTGGGCGACAGAGCAAGACGCTGTCTTAAATAAATAAATAGCAAAGCAGGAGCTAGCATTAAGGGGTTAGCATCAGAGATCTAGGATGAGGAATGGCTTGGTTTGAGAGCTAGAGCTGGAACAAAACCTAGCAGCCTGCAGCACAGCCAGATGCAAAGTGGGTTTGAAATGACAACTTGGACTCTTAGGAAGTTCTTTCTTACCTTAGATAAAAATCACACTGTCTGTAATTCCAGCCTGTCTTTCTCCAGGGTCACAGGTTACATGACAGTCCTTAAAATACCTGAGGAGAGCCCTCAGGTCTTCTCCAAGTCTTGCCTTCTCCAACCTAAACATCTCCAGTGCCTCAAGGGCTCCTGAACATGATTTGAGTCTGACTGTGCTCTCTGGACACATGTCAGATGGGGCCATAAAAAGTGGGACCATCTTCTCTCTTGCTCCAGGCTTTCATTTTGACATTTAGATAGTATTTTTCTGCCATAAAAATATTTATTTTTTTTACAAAATAAATTAATGCTCATTGTGAAAAATTCACATAATCTAGAGATGTAAAAGAAAAAGCTTTCCTCATCTCCACTCATATTTCTTAGCAATAAACACTGTTAATATTTTTCTGTGTATCTTTCCAAACCTTCTCACAGGCACATACTGACTTTATACCAAAAACATACTTCAAAAATAAAGATGGAATCATCCTATATACAATGTTTTACAACTTTAATTTTCACCCACTAACTACATTGCCTGTAATATTTCCTTGATTAATTTTATTACATTATTATTATTATTTGAGACTGAGTCTCACTCTATCCCCCAGGCTGGAGTGAAGTGGCACAATCTCAGCTCACTACAACCTTCGCCTCCTGGGTTCAAGTGATTCTCGTGCCTCAGCCTCCCAAGTAGCTGGGATTACTGATGCCTGCCACCATGGCCAGCTAATTTTTGTATTTTTTTAGTAGAGACAGGGTTTCATCATGTTGGCCAGGCTGGTCTCAAACTCCTGACCTCAAATGATCTGCCCTCCACGGCCTCCCAAAGCTCTGGGATTACAGGAGTGAGCTACTGTGCCTGGCCATTTTCTTGATTAACTTTAGATGTCATTGGCTGACAGTCTTTCATATCAGGTGTAAATCTTCCTCACCGTTTTTCATAGCAGCAGAATATCCTTATTATGGATACTTCACAATTTACCTATTTCTCTATTGAAATTGAAGCTTTCTACAATGTCTGCTGGTATAGATTAATGCTGTAAGGGATAGCCTTGTAATGAACATTTCTACATGACAGATTATTAGAAGAATTACCAGGTCATAGGTGTATTTAAAAATTTTAAAGGGTACCCTAAACTCATGACAAAACATCTAAAAATGCAATATACATATTTTTAAAAACCCTTGGCCAGGCATGACGACTCACACCTGTAATTCCAGCACTTTGAGAGGCTGAGTTGGGCAGATCACGAGGTCAGGAGTTCCAGACCAGCCTGACCAACATGGTGAAACCCCCATCTCTACTAAAAATACAAAAATTAGCCGGGCATGGTGGTGCGAGCCTAATCCCAGCTACTCAGGAGGTTGAGGCAGGAGAATCGCTTGAACCTGGGAGGTGGAGGTTGCAGTGTAACTGAGATCACACCAGTGCACTCCAGCCTACACAACAGAGCGAGATTCTGTCTAAAACAAAATAATAAATCCTTTAAAAAGGAGTCTAGGCCAGGCGTGGTAGCTCATATCTGTAGTCCCAGCACTTTGAGAGGCTGAGGCAGGCAGATCACTTGAGGTCAGGAGTTTGAGACCAGTCTAGCCAGCGTGGTGAACCCCATCTCTACTAAAAATACAAAAAAATTAGCTGGGTGTGGTGGTGTGCACCTGTAAGCCCAGCTACTCGGGAGCATGAGGCAGAATCACTTGAACCTGGGAGGCGGAGGTTGCAGTGAGCCAAGATTGAGCCATTGAATTCCAGCCCTGGCAACAGAATGAGACTGGGTCTCAAAAAAAAAAAAGGAGTCTGGGGGATATAAACAAATTGTCTTAACTGGTACCATAATTCACTGCAGGGAGGGGCTGTCTTTCCTTGGGAAACATGGAACAAGCCACTTGGTGAGCAGGTGAGAGCCTCTAGAGTGAGTGAAGGCAAGGGAAAGCTTCTGATCTGCCCACCTCGACCTCCCAGAGTGTTTGGATTACAGGTGTGAGCCACCACACCCCGCCAACTAATATTAATTTTAAAATTATTTGCATTACTGTGGGCTGGGAGTGGTGGCTCATGCCTGTAATCCCTTTGGGAGGCCAAGGTGGGCTAATCATTTGAGGTTAGGAGTTCGAGACCAGCCTGACCAACATGGCTAAACCCCATCTCTACTAAAAATACAAAAATTAGCTGGGCATGGTGGCACACGCCTGTAATCCCAACTACTTGGGAGACTGAGGCAGCAGAATAGCTTGAACCCAGGAGGTGAAAGTTGCAGTGAGCCAAGATTGCACCACTGCACTCCAGCATGGGCAACGCAACAAGATTGTCTCAAAAAAAAAAAAAAAAAAAAATTATTCGCATTCCTGTGATACGGGCACCCCTCTCCTTATCTCTTTAAACTTCAGTAAAGTCTTCCATTCTTCCATATACACAAATACATGCACCCAGACGCCTTGTGTGAGTGGTTTTTGTAAAAATCAGAAGAGGTGAGTTCCACATTAGGGCTGATGCAGTTAGTATGTGCATAGCGTATGCAGGACAGATAAGGAGCTTAGTGCCAGGAAAACATCAGGCCCCCAGAGTTCACAAACATATTTGAGAGGGTAATAGACTTCAAACAAATTAGATAACAAATGCTTAAGCCAAACTTTAGCTAAATTCCAAGGAATAGAGTGACCCCTGGTGATACTGGGGGGTTACGTGAGTAAATATTTTATTGAGAATAGGTGATAATATAAAATACTGGGAAAAAATTGGGGAAGATGTTTTATATAATCTTAGAATGGTAAAATGCTTAGCAAGAAATCTAGAAGCCATAAGAGACTACTAAATATGACTATAATAATTAAAAACTTCTAACATAAAACACCGCAATTAAAGTCAAAAGATTAGCCTGGGGGTGGTGGCTCATGCCTGTAATCCCAGCACTTTGGGAGGCCGAAAGGGGTGGATCACCTGAGGTCGCGAGTTCGAGACCAGCCTGACCAACACGGTGAAACCCCGTCTCTATCAAAAATACAAAAATTAGCCAGGTGTGGTGGTGCATGCCTGTAGTCCCAGCTACTAGGGAGGCTGAGACACGGGAATCACTTGAACCCAGGAGGCGGAGGTTGCAGTAAGCTGAGATGGCACCACTGCACTCCAGCCTGGGTGACAGACTGAGACTGTCTCAAAAAAACAAAAACAAAAAACAAGAAATCTACATTGCTCGTGGTACTTGGCCCAAATTCTATGGCTGACTCCCTTGCTAGCTGGTGCCTGGGGAAGCTCCCAAACCTCTCACCCTGTTCTGGTCCCACTACACAAGACTGAAGTTCCATTGACATGAACTACCATCCACTGAGGTTTGTGGGGAAAGGGAAGAGGAGAGAATGATGCTAGTGACTTTCCTGCGCTAGGCACTGCACTGCAGGGAAGGCTCAGTGGTTGAGAGCTCAGGCTCAGAGACAGGCAGATCTGCATGCAAATCTTGATTTTATCACTTACTTGCTTTTTATTTATTTATTTATTTATTTATTTATTTATTTTGAGACAGAGTCTTACTCTGTTGCCCAAGCTGGAACGCAGTGGCACGATCTTGGTTCACTGCAATATCCGCCTCCCAGGTTCAAGCGATTCTCCTGCCTCAGCCTCCCGATTAGCTGGGATTATAGGCATGCCACCATGCCCAGCTAATTTTTGTATTTTTTAGTAGAGACAGCGTTTCACCATGTTGGCCAGGCTGGTCTCAAACTCCTGACCTCAAGTGATCCACCTGTGTCGGCCTCCCAAAGTGCTGGGATGACAGGCATGAACCACTGCGTCTGGCCTTGTTTTATTATTTTTTTTTACTTTTAATATCACTTATTTGCTTTGTGATATGTGACAAATTGGGTACCTGCTCCCAGCATCACTTTGCTCATTAATAAACTGAGAATAACAATAGTAACTATCTCAGAGGGCTGTGACAGTAAAAGAAAATGCACTGTTTGCATAAGGTTTGGCATAGTACCTGGCATTTAGTAAATATTCATTAAATGTTTTTTTTTTTTTGAGACGGAGTCTCGCTCTGTCGCCCAGGCTGGAGTGCAGTGGCCGGATCTCAGCTCACTGCAAGCTCCGCCTCCCGGGTTTACGCCATTCTCCTGCCTCAGCCTCCCGAGTAGCTGGGACTACAGGCGCCCGCCACCTCGCCCGGCTAGTTTTTTTGTATTTTTAGTAGAGACGGGGTTTCACCATGTTAGCCAGGATGGTCTCGATCTCCTGACCTTGTGATCCGCCCGTCTCAGCCTCCCAAAGTGCTGGGATTACAGGCTTGAGCCACCGCGCCCGGCCTCATTAAATGTTATTTCTCATTTTCTTACATCTCTCACCCCCTTTGGAATCACCTTTACTATTAAATTTCCAATCATGTGCTCACCTTTTTAGGAAACATATTCTCACATTCTCTCCCTTCTGATATCCTCTTGACTTCTTGTGTAGGTTTCTTCAAGACCAGGGCCTGAGAATGATGCTCTGTCAATGTGACATTAGCAAGAAATGACCATTAGGTTCAAGCGATTCTCATGCCTCAGCCTCCTGAGTAGCTGGAATTACAGGTGTGTGCCACCACACCCAGTTAAATTTTGTGGTTTTAGTAGAAACGGGATTTCGCCATGTGGACCAAGTTGGTCTCAAACCCCTGGACTCAAGTGATCTGCCCACCTCGGCCTCCCACAGTGCTGAGACTACAGGCGTGAGCCACTGTGCCCGGCCAAAGCAGCGTTTAGAGGGAAGCCTGTAGCCTTAAATAAATGCTCATATTAGAAAAGAAGGTCTCATTTCGTTCAGTTCAAATATTTTCTAATTTCCCTTGGCAACTCCTCTTTGACACATGAGTCTTTGTGAATTGAATATATACGTAAGCTCTGGGGGACTTGCAAAGCTTCCTACAAATATTTACCTCTATTTAGAGCCCTGGCTAAACCTCTTGATCAGTGGTCCCCAAGCTTTTTCTTTAACAGTTTTATTGGGACATAATTCACATACTAACTTCTCTGAGCATCCATTTCTCCCTCAAGAAAAAGAATAAAGTTTAAATAACAATAATGATGTGAAATAACCTAGGATGATACTTAAGAGCTCCTGTTCTGTGTTTTCTTATATTCTGTATTTGTCTATTTGCCATCCATTAATTACAGGGCTAGACTAACAGAGTTGCTAATATAAGTCTCCTACAATCCAGAGGCCACACTTTGAACCCACTCTTTTATCTAACTCACACACCAAGCCAACTAGGGACAGCCCCTCTGCCCCAGAGCCCGCTGGAATTATTCAACCCAGCCAACTCTAAACTTTTTTTTTTGAGACAGGCTCTCACTGTCACCCAGGCTAGAGTGCAGTGGCTCAATCGTGACTCACTGTAGCCTCAATCTCCCAGACTCAAGTGATCCTCTCACCTCAGCCTCCTGAGTAGCTTGGACTACAGGTGTGCACCCCCATGTCCAGCTAATTTAAAAATTTTTTTGTAAAGACAGGGTCTCGCTATGTTACTCAGGCTGGTCTCGAACTTCTGGGCTCAAGCAACCCTCCTGCCTCAGCCTCCCAAAGTGTTGGGATTACAGGTGTAAACCGCTGCACCCAGCTAATCCTAAACTGGTTACCGTACCTTGCTTTGTCTTTCCTGCTGAAACTTCAAAAAAGAGTGTGGCCTGTCCATTCCCCACACTCCTTTCTGCCTCCCGGTCAGCACTGGTGCTTCCCGCTGTGTCCCTGCACGGTGTGCTGAGTTTAGTGTTACTCGCAATTTCCAGGGGGAATTTCCAGGGGAATTGCGAGTAACATGAAACTTTTCTTTCAATGGCACTGACCTCTCTGTACTATCACTCAGTCACCAATATAAATTAAGACCTGGGTGCAAATTAGTTCTAACCTTAGTAATTACTGGTTTCTGATGGGGGAGAGGAGCAGTCATCATGTCTTAAATTTATTTTCTTCCAGTGTCAACAACCTCTCTTCCCCACAGATATTAGCATTGTGCTGACCTCATCACCACAAAAGTGGAACTTAATCAGTGCTTAGGCCGGGCGAGGTGGCTCACGCCTGTCATCTCAGCTCTTTGAGAGGCCGAGGCGGGAGGATCACAAGGACAGGAGTTCGAGACCAGCCTGGCCAACATGGTGAAACACCCGTCTCTACTAAAAATACAAAAATTAGCCAGGCGTGGTGGCACATGCCTGTAGTCCCAGCTACTTGGGAGGCTGAGGCAGGAGAATCACTTGAACCTGGGAGGCGGAGGCTGCAGTGAGCTGAGATCGTGCCACTGCACTCCAGCCTGGGCGACAGAGTGAGACTTTGTCTCAAAAATAAATAAATAAATAAATAAATAAATAAATAAATAAATAAATAATCAGTGCTCACTGAACTGAAAGACAATTACATCCTTTCATAAAATATTACTTGGTGCCAAGCCCTAGGCTGGCACCCCAAGTATAAAGTAGGGTAGCAAATTCTGTTCAAACGAACCCAAGAAACCAGCGTTTTGGAGATAATAGCTAAGCCAAAAGCCTACATTTCCCTTTTTGGTAGTGAATATACCTTTTGCGGTATTCTGTACTCGTAAGCTTTTTTCTGAGCTCTGCTTGGCCGAAGAGGTTTTTTCATTGGGTGAATTTGCACTAAAAAACTTCAGGAGACAAAAGAGAAAGAGAGGGAGAAACAGAGAAACAGAGAGAGAGAGAACAAAATAAAATTGGTAGTGAGAGAAATACAAAAAAGTAATACATGCAATTTCTTTGCTATTTCTTATTGTTCTCAGCAAAGGAACATGCAGAACCAGACTTTTCCGGTCCTCCCAGGAGCATGGCAGACAGCAGTGGCTGATGTGGAGAACACATGGGCTGGGGACCCAGGCCAACCAGGGCTCCAGTCCCAATTCTCTCACTCAACAGCCAGTGATCTGGGGCAAGTCATCAAACCTCTTTACCACCTTGGTTTCCTTGTAGGATTAAGTCAGTGAATGCATGCAAATTACAGGAGTGCTCATGGTGAGTGCTCCAAAAACACTGCCATCATCCTTGATGCAATCACCTTTTCCAGCAAATGTTTCACTGGGCAAATACTAATGTGTCTGCACTGGGCAAACACTGAAATCTAGCCCCTGGCTTGAGGAGTTTCCAGGGGAAATAACAGGAAATGGACAGTTACACTGAAGTGTGGAAAGCATCCCATATTTGTTATAGAGAGGCAACAGAAGTTAGGATTCTGTTTGAATGTGACAAAGACTCAAAATAACAGTGGCTCAAAATAGGTAGAAATTTCTCTTCCACCAGCCTGGGCAACATAGTGAGACCTTGTCTCTAAAAAAAAAAAAAAAAAAAAAAAAAAAAAAAAATTAGCCAAGCACGCTGGTGTGTACCTGTAGTCCCAGCTACCTGGGAGGCTGAGGTGGGAGGATTGCTTGAGCCTGGAAGGTTGGGGCTGCAGTGAGCCATGACTGTGCCACTGTACTCTAGCCTGGGCAACAGAGCAAAACTCTGTCTTTAAATAAGTAAATATAAATACATTTCTCTCCCACATAAAAGTCTGAAGGCGGGCAAGCCTGGGCTTATATGGTGTTTCTAAGCACTGGTGGTGCTAAGTCCTCAGGGATTCTGACTTCTTTTTTTTTTTTTTTTTTTGAGATGGAATCTTGCTCTGTTGCTTAGGCTGGAGTGTAATGGCACGATCTCAGCTCACTGCAACATTTGCCTCCCGGGTTCAAGCAATTCTCTTACCTCAGCCTCCCAAGTAGCTGGGATTACAGGTGTCTGCCACCACGCTCAGCTAATTTTTGTTCTTTTATTGGAGATGGGTTTTCACCATGTTGGCCAGGTTGGTCTCGAGCTCCTGACCTCAAGTGATCCACCCGCCTTGGACTCCCACAGTGCCAGGATTATAGGCATGAGCCACTGCTTCAGGACAGATTCTGACTTCTTCCAGCTTTCATAAGATAAAATAAGACCCTTGTTCCTTTTTTTTTTTTTTTTGAGATGGCATTTTGCTCTTGCTGCCCCGGGTGGAGTACAATGGCACGATCTTGGCTCACTGCAACCTCCGCCTCCCGGGTTCAAGTGATACTCCTGCCTCAGCCTCCCGAGTAGCTGGGATTACAGGTGTGTGCCAGCCACCACACCTGGCTAATTTTGTATTTTTAGGAGAGAACATGTTCACCATGTTGGCCAGGCTGGTCTCAAACTCCTGACCTCAGGTGATCTGCCCGACTTGGCCTCTCAAAGTGCTGGGATTACAGGTGTGAGCCACCGCGCCCAGGCAAGATCCTTGTTCTTAGGGTCCAAGGAGGCATCTGGAGCTCCCGCCATCACATTCACATTACAGGCAGCAGGAGGGAGGAAAGGACAAAGAGATAAAGCTGTTTTTTAAGGAAGGTTTCCAGAAACTGCCACAAAACACATCCGCTTACATCTCATTAAGTAGATCTTAGTCATGTGGCCGCACATAGAGGTAGGGGAGGCCAGGAAATACAATCTTTATTTCGGCCAGGTACATGCCCAGCAAAAAATCAGAGGTTTTCTTTTCACAGGTGAAGGGGACAACAGATATTGGGAAACAACTCATAGTTGGCCACAAGCAGTATGAGGAGAATATCACGGGCAGCTAGAGCGCAGAACGCTGGATTCTGTCTGGGCGAGAGCTGGAGGGCTTCCAAGCAGAGAAGACACTCGCATTCTGTCTTTAAGGATGAGTAGGAGGTTGGCAATGTTAGACAGATGGCCCACCAAGTGGCAGACAAGCAGTCCACCAGCCTCAACAACAACCGTTCGCTTTTATAGAAATGTGATATTTGAATGGGCAGGAGAAAGCAGAAAGGACTTCCCAGACATCATGCAGCTGGCTGTCCAAAAGCTACCGATTTTTATAGTGTTGAGGTGGTTGCAGGGAAAACACTCCCAGGGCTCAATGAAGCATCAGTGCTCATTCTTTTTCTTTTCTTTTCTTTCTTTTTTTTTTTTTTTCTTGAGGTGGAGTTTCACTCTTGTGGCCCAGGCTAGAGTGCAATGGCACGATCTCGGCTCACTGCAAGCTCCACTTCCCGGGTTCAAGAGATTATCCTGTCTCAGCCTCACGAGTAGCTGGGACTACAGGCACCCGCCACCACGCCCGGCTAGTTTTTTGTATTTTAGTAGAGAGGTGGTTTCGCCATATTGGCGAGGCTGGTGTCGAACTCCTGACCTCAGGTGCTCTGCCCGCCTTGGCCTCCCAAAGTGCTGGGATTACAGGCATGAACCACAGCGCCTGGCCATTTTTTTGTTTTGTTTTGTTTTGTTTTAAAGAGACAGTGTCTTACTCTGTCACCCAGGCTGTAGTGCAGTGGTACGATCACAGCTCACTGCAGCCTCAAACTCCCGGGCTCAAGTGAATCTTCTGCTTCAGCCTCCTGAGGAGCTGGGTCCACAGGCATGTACCACCACACCTGGCTAATTAAAAATATATATATTTTTGGTAGAGACAGGGGGTCTCACTATGTTGCCCAGGTTGGTCTCAAACTCCTGGACTCAAGCCATCCTCCCACCTTAGTCCTCCAAAATGTTAGGATTACAGGCCTGAGCCACCACTCCTGGCAAGGCTCATTCTTTTTTTTTTTTTTTTTTTTTTTTTGAGACGGAGTCTCGCTTTGTCGCCCAGGCTGGAGTGCAGTGGCCGGATCTCAGCTCACTGCAAGCTCCGCCTCCCGGGTTTACGCCATTCTCCTGCCTCAGCCTCCTGAGTAGCTGGGACTACAGGCACCCACCACCTCGCCCGGCTAGTTTTTTGTATTTTTAGTAGAGACGGGGTTTCACCATATTAGCCAGGATGGTCTCGATCTCCTGACCTCGTGATCCGCCCGTCTCGGCCTCCCAAAGTGCTGGGATTACAGGCTTGAGCCACCGCGCCCGGCCTTTTTTTTTTTTTTTTGAGACGGAGTCTCGCTCTGTTGCCCAGGCTGGAGTGCAGTGGCCGGATCTCAGCTCACTGCAAGCTCATCCAGGCTCATTCTTAACAGGCCTCAGAGAGGTCTGCAGTGGAGCAGAGAACAGTGCGGGGGATTTGCCTGGGTTTCGGTGACTAGACCCTGCTACTTGCTGGAGAGGCAGCTTGCTGATGCAGAAAGAGCTCAGACTGACAGTGTCCTGACATCAGCTGAGGTCAGCTGTGTGGCCTGGGGCAAGCCATTCACCCCCTCAGTCTATTACTTCCTTTGTCAAATAAAGATAAGAAGTAATAATGACCCACCTTGCAGGGCTGATGTAAGGACTAGAGAAGATATATGCAAAGAAAACTTGAACATGGGAGGCCGAGGTTGCGGTGAGCTGAGATTGCGCTATTGCACTCTAGCCTGGGCAATAAGAGCAAAACTCCATCTCAAAAACAAAACAAAACAAAACACGCTGAACATGGTGGACTCCCCATAGAGACCATGCCCTTCCACTTAGAAAGTACTTTCCTGGGCCGGGCGTGGTGGCTCACGCCTGTAATCCCAGCACTTTGGGAGGCTGAGGAGGGCCAATCACGAGGTCAGGAGTTTGAGACCATCCTGACCAACATGGTGAAAATCCGTCTCTACCAAAAATAAAAAAACTAGCTGGGGGTGGCGGTGGGCACCTGTAACCCCAGCTACTCGGGAGGCTGAAGTAGGAGAATCACTAGAACCCAGGAGGCAGAGGTTGCAGTGAGCCGAGATCACGCTACTGCACTCCAGCCTGGGTGACAGGGTGAGACTCCATCTCAAAAAAAAAAAGTACTTTCCTGTCCATTCTCTCATGTTGTGACCAGCCACCACCCCACGGGTGTATGAGGCAAGGTGACTATCATAAGGGTTGGGGGTGAACCAAGACTGTTCCAAGACCCCCTGTCCCAGCACAGCATAGAGGAGAGGGAAGTGTTGTAGCCCACCTGGCCACCCAGCTGCTCACATTCAGCACGCTGAGGGCTCAGTTGTTACTGTACAGTGTTGGAGGGGGAGCCTATATTTGAGCTACTATGAGATATAATCTAGGGATGCCTAGAAATGTCTGGGTGGGGAGAGAGCTGCACAGACCTGGAATTAGCAGGTATGGACACGAGCTGGAGAAATCTGAGTCATTATTGTTAAGGACACTGACTATATCTATGCTGTGGAACTTGGGAAAATTCTGGTTAAATTAGTAGGTATTCTGACAAGACATAACTAAACGACAATCTCTGGGACCTTGGTTACCCCTAGATTGAATCTATAAGAATGAATACCAGTCGTGATGCCCATTTTGTGGATAAAAACATGGAGGCCTAGATTTGCCTCAAGGCATGTAACTGATAGCAGGCATCACCTAGATGCCTAGGTCTTGGTGCCTAGGTCTCCTGGCACCAAGTCCAGAGAAGGCCAGTACCGTACCCCAGTGCCTTTGCCTGTGGCTCCACAGTGGTCATGCACTCCTAGTTCCCAAATTTTGGCTTGGGTAGAAATTGTTCTCTCTGTAAGCCAGGCCTCTCCTCCAAAGTCCCGTCTTGTATATCTACCTACTTGGCATCTATCTTCATTTGCACTTTTCATTGGCATCTTAAAGTTAACAAGTTCAAAGTTGAACTCTTGATAGCTTTCCGCTAACTCAAACCCTACACTGTCCATCTCGGTAAATGGCACCATTCAGATGCTGAAGCCGCACGCCT